AGAAAGTCTCTCATGCTGTTTTTTTCTTAGAAAGTCTCTCATGTTGTATTTCTTAGAAAGTCTCTCATGTATGTATTTTTATTACTGAATCATAAATCCAGAGTTGTTAGTCCTTGGCCTTGCCATAAGACCAAAAATTGAGGCCTTGGCCTTGAAAATTTTGGCCTTGGCCTTGATTGCTTTGGCCTTGGCCTTCAGAATCAGAAATCAACAAAATCAGTAAAAAAAATACATATTTTTTACTGATTTTGTTGATTTCTGCGCATAACCTTAGTCCAGGCCTTGCGATGAATAAGAACTGCACGACGCATAAGCTCGACGTGATTTTTGACGTCATTAAATTCTTTTTATTTGCTTTTCATATTTATCGACATTAACTGCACCAATTTACTTAATTACCGCAAAACTACTTTAAATCGTTTTTGTAGAAATGTTATTATTTAAAAATGTTTTGGAATGTTTCGTTTTTTAAAATGTAAAAACATTTGTTTATTTTCTCGACGTTTGTCACGTTTTGTCTATACTAAACGAATAAAAAACATTATAACTTAAATTTAAAAAAGATTATATAAGATGTTAATATTTGATTTTTTTTTTCTCCTTAAATATGTTATTTAAATAATTATTTTTTTCTTTTAAAAAGTCAGCGAGTAATAAACTGGAAATTTTAATATTGTACGATTTAAAACTGTGCAATAGCTAATATTTTTACAAGCGATTTTATATAATATTTATTTATTTGTTTTTATTTATTTTCATAAAGCGGTTGATAAGCACAATCACTCGTATTAATAAAAAACTTAAACGAACGTTTTGAATAAATTTAATTTTGAATAAACGTTTTGAATAAATTTAATGTTAACAAGAAATTTTATTTCAAGTAATATAAAATAAAATGTTAGAATAAAAATCTTATAGGTATAAAAGAAATATTTCAGCGAAAAAATTATTCTTAAAAATTATTATTAAAAATTATTCTTAAAAATTATTATCGAAAAACTATTGACGTTTTATTTTTCAGCAGCTGTTCTTGAGCACGCTTCGTTGAGTTTCGGTAACTTTTAACATAAAAGCGATCGTTATTATTTAAGTAATTTTTTAGAGTTGCTTTTTACAAAAATTTTAATAACTGTACTTTTTTATTGAATCAAGTAGAATACGTTTTAATATTAATCCTTTTTTTTTTTTTATTTGTGCTCACCAATTTTTATGTTTCCTCAAAATTACTCTTAAATACTTTAAATACGTCTAACAGTTAATAAATATTTTTAAATCTTTTTTTTTAAAACCTAACAAACCCCCGTAAAATAATTATTTAAGTTTAAAATCTAAAGTATTTTTGTTCAATTTTATCGAAAACTTTGCTATTGCTGAATAATTTTATTAAAATGTTAGCTTAAAAGATTTAAACTTTTTTTTAATCTGAATTTTTTCTACTTGTATTTAATTTTTTTTTAATTCAAACTTTTATTTCTACTGCGTGCGGTTTTTAAAATACTTTATTAAATGTTAAAATAATCGTAAATTACTTCATTAAAATTCCGCTCAAAAATATCTTTAAATAAACTCAAACAAAAATTTTTTTGCTCGACGCAAATAGCCCTAGCTACACGCAAAATCGCTCTTGGACGACGTAAAATTCACATCGCCCGACGCTTTATCGCAAGACCTGTTAGTCTATTTTTACAAAAGGTGGTTTTATTGTCACAGCACTTGCTACTTATAGTTTTGTTAATATTTGACCTTAACGTAAAGCAAAAATTGAAGTCTTTGGTCTTGAAAATGTTTGCGTAGGCCTTGGCCTTAAAACTCTTAATCTTGGCCTTGATCTTAAAACTCTTTGCCTTGTCCTTGGCTTTGTAACTTTTGGCCTTGGTCTTGGCCTTGGCCTTGTAACGTGTGGCCTTGTCAACAACTCTGCATAAATCACATTTGTTTTGATGTAACATTGATAGTTTTTACTTATGCTTATTTTCATATTTTCTTGATATAAATGCAAATTTTCTCTAAATCAGTATGTTGCATGACTCTGTTCTAATATTTTAAGGATGATTACATAGCAATATTATTTTGCCATTATAATATCCACATACATAGCAAATAATATCAGGAGAATTTCCACATCCTCTACTAGCCATTATGAAGAACTTACCCTGTCAACACAAATGTAATGTGTATAATATATTGGAATGCGCAGAAAATTTATTGTTTATTTAACAGTAGTTGAAAGCAAATATTTTTTATAATAGAGCCAGTAGTTTTTAATAAATATTCAAATAAAAAATATTATGTGAATACTAATTTTAATCTTATTGCTATGTCAACATTTTCATACAATTTTACTTTTTTTATTTAATAAATTGTTGTCATTGTTTGAAATAATTTCATATTTTACATAATACATAGTTTGCACAATTTGGTTTTTAGGTTGCTTCGCACTGTCTGGTCCTTTTCCATCTAACCACAGGATTTTTATTATCTTTGAATTTTCAAATTTCACTTTTGTATTGCTTTTATACTTAAGAATATTTAAAAAATGAACTTAAATGGTTGGTATATCTCAGTTTGACGAGTGTTTCACTTATACCAATGTATGATTTTTGGATTATCATCAGGGTTACCTAAATTGAGAGTTATTGAGTAAAGGGAAAGTATTTTTATAATGCTGTTGCAGTTAATTTTATTGATGGTTGGATTTTCATTTAGTATGTATTATTTGAGTGAATTTTTTACTAGTTTGATATTTACCATACAACTAGTATGCAACATAAAAGTTTTATGCAGTTTATGGTTTATTGAAAAATGTTTGGCAAAAAAGTTTAAAAAGCATTTTCCTAAATATATGATGACATTAGTATTAAAATTAAGGTTTGTGTGTACAGTTTTCTTTTGCTGTTGTTTTCAGTTAGATTAATAGGAGAGAATGTGTTTATAAGCTGAATTTGCTTGATTATACATTATTACAGATGTCTTGAATACCTCTTCTCTAGAAGAATTTCCGGACAATCAAGTTCAACATTGTGAAGTAGTTGTTTTAGTATATTAGAACGGTGGTTGAGGATAATTTACAGTATTATCAGTGATTGAGGATAATTTACAGTATTATCAGGTTTGCAGTATGGTTAATATAATTTAGAGTTACATTAAGGCAATCAACAATTTCTGATTTTAAAACGTTAAAAATACAAATTAATGCAATTAATTTTTATTCCTAAGGGATTTTTTTTTAGCTCACTTATTTTTATAGTTTTTTTTAGGAGAAACTTATTTTCATGCCTGCATTTAGAAATCAAATCTGATTTTTTGTTTAATAAACGTTCTTGTTTCACATGTGTAATTATTTCAAATTTTACTCGTAAGCATAATATGAATTTTTTGGAAATATATGCATGTGCTGTTTTTAGAATCAACCAATTCAATATAAAATCATCGATGTTTTTAACTTTTAATTCCCATATGTATTTTGGCAGCACGGTGTATTTTGAATACTTTTTATTTTTAAAGGATTGCTTATGGTTGCAAAACGTTTTTACATTCACCCTCTGTTGAGCCAATATTGTTTATCAGGTACATTCTTAGAGGAAACAACACATTTATATACCACTTGTTTTGAGGGCATCTTCAAAAATTCATTTAGAGGAATTAAATACATTTTCATCAGAGGAGTTTTAGTTTTTTGCCTGTTAATAATTGTAATTTGTTTTAGAATTTGGAGTGGATGGTTTGTGTTAATTTAATATACAATAATTCATCATTTGTTTTTCAAGAAAGGCTTATACGAATTTTTAGAGAGGTTAAATGTGGCATCAAGAAAATTTACATTTTTTAAATTTATGCTTATTTTGATTTGAAAGCTGATATTTAAAAAACATTTTATAGTATCTCTTTATCTTTAACTTTATTAAGTTGTGGACCAGATTTTTTATGCATTACTATTAAACCATCATCATGATATTTTACTTAATAAGTCTGAAATATATAGTCCAACAAATTCACAAATTTCTGCTCCATCATAACTGCCCATTGTTACATCAAAGCAGTCATTTATGTTTTTCTTTTTTCTAGTTTCCTTATAATAATAATAATAATAATAATAATAATAATAATAATAATAATAATAATAATAATAATAATAATAATAATAATAATAATAATTTTTTCTGTTATTTTCGTATTCTTTTTAGATACATTATTACTCAGATTTGAAAATGATAGAAAATGATTTCAATTTGGTTTTCAGCAATGCTCTTAAATTTTATCCTCCAGATTCAATTCAATATCAAGTTTGATTTTTATTTTAACATTTTATGTTCTAATGTTCTACGATATTTATTTGAAGTTTAAAAGAATGTCTAAATTTAAACTTTGTTATGTTTAAAAGAAAATGAAATTATTGTTTGTTTTTTTTTTTTTGGTATAGGATGCTCATACCTTAAATGCATTTATGCATGAAAAAATAAAAGAAATGGATCACTGTGAGGAATATCAGACATTTCTAGTTGGTTTTTTTAATCTTATTAGTGCATATATATATATATATATATATATATATATATATATATATATATATATATATATATATATATATATATATATATATATATATATATATATGTATATGTATATATATATATATTCTTTTTTTAGAAAACTGAAAGAACTGGAAGCATTTCACATAAGTTTAAAAGTGAGAGTTCTCCCATAGTTACACCATTGAAAAAGCGAGGTAGGCAACCTAAAGACGCTAGCAAAACTCTAATAGATGGTTTGAAGATTTTTTCTGATCATGCTAAGAAATTGTTTGACTTTATTATGGAATATAAGGTTGTTTTATAGATTTTTTTTTTTGTTAATTTTTGTTTACCGATATGTTTAATTTTGTTTAAAAAATTTAACAATTGTTTTATTTGTATTTCAGTTTCTAATAGCTTAACTGTAGTATAGCTTAACTATTTTTATATATTTTATATTTTTAACTTTTATTTTATTATTATTTTTTTTAATTCTTTGTTTCCAGAATTCCGAAGGTCGTTTTTTGTTTAAAATGTTTCATGTTTTACCTGATAAAAAAGAGTTTGCAGAGTATTATGAAATTATTTCAAAACCTATTGATCTTAAAACGATTGGGGAGAGAATCAATGCAAATCATTATGTTTCTGAATATCAGTTAATGAAAGATTTCAACATTTTGTTTAAAAATGCTCGTAAATTTAATGAGGAGGGTTCTCAGATTTATAATGACTCTATTACATTGGAAAAGGCGTTAAAAAAGAAGATGCTTGAATTTTTTCCAGGTACAATCAATTTTTTCATATTTTTAAAATATAATTTATATATATATATATATATATATATATATATATATATATATATATATATATATATATATATATATATATATGCATATATATATATATATATATATATATATATATATATATATATATATATATATATATATATATCACATAAATTTTTAAAGATTTGAGTGATTAGGAATTTAATAAAGATGGACGTTTCATACTTTGAATAGAATTTATTCTATGTAACTTGTTTTAGTTTTTACAATTTTTAAATATTTTTAAATTATAGTTTTAACCATCTTGCACTTGAAAAACTTGCATGCTGAAAATTGGTGCCCCATGAGATTCAAACACCAATAAATCTATTTCATAAGCTTAACTAAAATGAATGTATTGAAATCATTTAATTAAAATGATTCTCATAATGATAAATAATTTTTAACTTGTTATAATTTGTTGAAACTGTTGATTGAAATGTTTTAACTTTTTTACTTTGAAAGTTTTTGTAGAAAAAAGTCATTTGAATAAATAATCATTTTTCCTGCCGTAAAATTACCTCATTAAAAAAAAAATCTGAGATTAGGGTGACATTTGGCTTATTTGACATGGAATTACCATTGATAATTATTGAGCAATTCCTAGTTTGCAAAAGTTTATGTAATGCATAATTTAATATGACCATATTTTCACAATAAAACAAACTACTATCTGCAATATGTTAAATACAGTCACATAATATTCTTTTAATACCACATTCTATTACACACCGTATTGGTTCAGCATCATCATTTGCATTTAAGTTTTCATTTTTAATTTCAATGTCTTCGAATTGTTGGTAACATAAATAAAAACACCACCATCTTTATTTTGTTTACAATCTTGATGATATCAATACCAACATTTTGAAAGTTTCTTATGTAGTTGAACCACTTCTATTCATAATCTTCAATTTATAATTAATCTTCGACTTATCATTAATCTTCGATTTATCATTAATCTTTGATTTATTATTAATAAAAGTTTAAGCAAATGCAAGTTTGAAAATTCTAAACATTTATTTTAATCTATTTTATTTGATTAGTTTTAAATAATTTTTCTGCTCGATTTGCAACTATCTCTAAAATTATATTTCTTATCATAGTCTAACTGACTAATATTATTTCAAGTTTTTTACTATTGTTATCATGACATCATTATCGAGCAATGGTACTTGCTACCTAGTATGATTAGTTCATTGTAGTATATATGATGCAATATTTATTTTTTAATGTATAAAAATATATATACCATCTCTGATCATTTTTTTATTTTGATCATTTTACTTGGAACATCCATGATGCACTGCTGCTACTTTTTATATACTCAATATATTTTAAAAATTGCAACACAAAGTAGTCTCCTGAACTATAATTTTTTTTTTCATGGCTATTATAAGTTCCTCGGTTATGTTTTACTGTAATTTGTATGTTTTTTTATCCTTGAATATTATACTTTTTTGTTTAGAGGAAAAAGTAATACCTCTAAAAAATATAAGATTGAGGTAAGTTGCTTTTTTCATTTTTTGAAAATTTTTCTTACTCAAATTATTGATTATGCCAAAGTTAAAATAAATTTATTGCTTGTAATTTTTAAAGTTATATACATAAGTTATAGTTTATTTTTATTTAAATTACCCTAATTATAATTTTAAAGTTTATTTGTCTTAATTATTATTATCATTTAAGTTTTATTGTTTTAATTGTCATAATACCAAAATTGATTATTGTGCATTCTGAACTATAAGCAAGGTTACTCCTTGTACTTTACAAAAAGATCATGCTCAATTTTCATAAAGAACAAAACAGTAATAAGTTAGTAAAAAAAATACTTAGCTTTTTTCTTCAACTGGCAGTTTCTTATTCTGTAGAACCATCCGGAAGCTTTTTGATGATTCTACAAATGTAGAAACTGCCAATTAAAAAAAAAATTAGGAATTTTTTTTTTTACTTTTATAGCGCTTGCTTGTTTCGTTGTTTAAACTAATTTTTAAAATATGTTTAAACAGTAGAGTTTGCATATTGATAAATAAAGAAGTATATTCGTAATAAAATACATCACACATGATTTATGCGTGACTAATTTCAATTTTAATTTATGTGGTATAAGTTCAAATTAAAAATGATTTATTTCTTCTATTTGAAAGCTGAATCCAGCATGTTTTTTTTAATTGCATATTTTTAAAAATGAATTATTTCTTCTATTTGAAAGCTAAATCTAGCATGTTTTTTTTTTTTTTTCAATTCCGATTGAACTTTATCATATTATCTGCTTAATCGTACCCTGGTTCGAACCATTTGCTAACTCGTATATTTTTTTAGGGTTAATATGACAAAAAATTCACTTAACTAGAACTTTTTACTCTGAATTGCATAAAAGTCCATGTAATAAAATACCAAAACATGCAACATTTCAATGAAAATTCCAAACTTAAAAAATTAAATATCTAGCATAATATTTATAAATATCTAGAGTAAAATTTATAAATATCTTATAAATAAATATCTAGCGTAAAAAGTTTATCAAACTAAAACTTCACTTAAAGCTTTGATTTCATACAGGTTTGCTCACATTCTATTAATTAATAACTATTATATTTAAAATTCAAAAACATCAAAACGTTGAAATATCAAATATTTTTTGGTCGAATATAAGTTAATATAAAACTAAATATTTTCACTTGATATCTTCAAATTAGTTAAGCTTATATTAAAGTCTATTTATTAAAAAAGTTAAAGCTAAACGCAACTTTAAATTAAAAAAAAAAAGTTTCAATAAACAATACCTATAGCAAATATTTTTGTTATATAACTTTGAATGAAACTTTTGGAAGCGTCCTCACAAACAACAAAAGAAAAAATGTAAACTTACTGGTTTCACAAGCATGTTTCTTAAAATATATGTGAGTATATAAATTACTATTTATTAAATACTGACATACATTTATATATTTTTAAAATCTAATTTACTTCCAACAAGATTGCAAGCAACCACTATTAAGTAATGAGTTACTTTCAAATAGAAAAGTGATCTACTTAAAAGATTATATTAAGATTATAATAAAAATAATGAATACGAAATTTTATAAAGAAGTTGTTTTTGAAAAAGTACTATGACTTTCCAATGCTGTGTACTTTTTCAGAAAACATGTTTAAAATGCTGAGCAAAACTAAATGTTGTTTTTTTTTCCTGATATACTCCCAACAAGGCTGCAAGCAACCACTATTAAGTTTGAAAAAAAAATTACTGGAACTATTTACTGGAAAGAAAAAATTACTGGAGATCAAAGAAACGGTTGACAGAAGACTTGAAAAGTTGAAGGTTGTAGACAAATAAATTTTTTTAGAGCAAGCAGGGACAGATACAACAAAAGGATTTGCTGAATGAAAAGTCAAGCAAGAATGCGTTTTTGGACCTTGTCTAGAAGAGAAAGAGCATCATTAAAAGAACCAGCCTAAATATGACAACAGTATTCCATTCAGGTACAAATAAGAGATTTGTAGAGGTAGAGAATGGAATCAGGAGAGAGAAAATGGCGAGATCAATAAAGAAAAGCAACCTTAGCAAATGCTAATTTAGCAATCAATTGTATATATGGTTTCCATGAAAGGTCAGTAGTAAACGATAATACAAGAAGTCGTATTGAAGAGGACAATGTGAGAGTTTATTTTTAAAAAAACTGTTTTTATTAAAATATTCTCTCACCTACCTAATCGTTGGGAGGGGTTGAAGAGCTAGGGAGAGTAGATTCAGTGTTAAAAATTCATTGATTGGATTGATGTAATTGAAGGGATATGTGGATATAGGTTTAAGCTAGTACAGATTGGGAGAATGGTCATTAGATTGGGGGTGAGGTGGAGGTGGTAACTTTTTATTTTATATTTTTAAAGATTTAGTTGTTATACAGTCATTATTTTTAAACACATTTTTATATCTTGTTTACACTAGAGAACTGGAATACAAATTTACTGCATAGTGTTTACTGTATTTTGTTTTTTATTGTACTGAATTTTTTGAATTGTTTTTCTGCTGTTTTTTCATCAAACAATAGTTGTTACTAAATACTTCAAAGCAGTACTCCAAGTAAGACAGAACAGGGTGATATGCCAGATGGCCACATTTTAAAGTATAAAATAAGTAGCAATGGTAAGATGATATTTTGAAAATATTGAAAACTATCCCGTTATGTATTTTTCTGTTTTTAAGCACTGCTTAAAAGGTAAAAAGTAAAACAAAATATTTTAATGGATTTTTTTTATGGATTAAATTAACTAAAATTAACTTCAAAACATGAACCTTGAGGAACAAGATTGCTGCCTGGAGAAACAAGTTAAGTGCAGTACAACCAGGGATGTGATGTGTTGGAACTCAGAACTTCTTGTTTACAAGGAGAGCCCTCTATCACTAAACCACTACCACATTGGTAGTGGTTTCATATACATCATATACATCATTTAGTCATATACATTAGTAATATAAATTCTAATTTAAAAATTATTTAACAATAAACTAATTTAACAATGAACCTATTATACAACAAATAAAACTAATTTAACAATGCACCTATTATACAACAGTGAAAATATGAAGGAATAAAAAAAAGTTAAAAAAGAAAATTTGCTTGTTCAAACAATCAATAATATTTTTCATATTCATTCTCCTAATAAAAAATATTATGTTTAAACCAGACTGATTCAGGATAAGACATTCTAGTTTTCTAGCTCTTAAAAGTTGTTAAAAGCTCTTAAAATCTAGTTTTCAGCTCTTAAAAGTTGAAACAAGATAAATAAGCAAGATAGATTTAAAACTAGTTGAATAGGCAGGATAGATATTTTGTAAAAATTCATTTTCACTTGAGATTCTAAGATTCAAAATCTATGAACAGTTGCAATACAAATTTATAAAAAACTCCTCTCAGGCTGACATGCTATCATCATATTTTTTAATTATTCTTTGGGTCATTTTGGAAAACCTTATTTCAAAAACAAACAACAACTGATGTTATACATTTTACAATTATTAAAATCAAATTGCTTCACAACCAATCAAATTGCTTCACTAGAGAAACTTTCCTCTTGCAATTTCCATCAGGTGCCCTGATATCGAAAAATCTTTCTAAAAAAAATGAAAATGAAAATTGCGTTTCTTTTAAAAAAGTACAATTCAAAGTATCATGCATAGGAGATTTATAAGATGCTGCAGAATTATAAATTTTTCTACAGGAAATTTATAATTTAGAAGACGATGGAAAATGTTTTAAAATTCATTTGTAGTAATGGTAAGTATAAGTAAAAAATATAGTTTATTTAAATCGAAGATGTTTTCAAACCTTTTAAGTAACAATTAATACATAAAAGTTAGTTGAGAAGATAATTCAAAATATATACATATTGTTTCTTATTCTGCGCGAGGCTACGCAAAACAAAGTTTTTAAAGTGATTAAAAAATTACAATAAGTAGCAATTATTTGCTGATTTAGCACAATACAAATAATAACTTCTTTTATAAACCTCTTTTATAGAATGAAATTATAACAAGAGAGTTAATTATTTTACCAGAAAAAAAATGTTCATAACAAATATTTGCTATTGATATAAAAAATCCTAATCTTTTTTGACTTTCCTACAAAATCCAATTTTGACATTTTTACACAACAGGAAAACTACATCTCTACAACTAATATGTCAATAACAAATTCATTTCTTTATTTAATTCATTTTTATTGAAAGAATACAAAAAACATACTAGAAAAAAATTTTCTATTGGTTTCTGCTTTACTTGTTCTAATGCGGCAGTAGTAGTAGAGCACTTGCTTAATGAGTAAAAAGTTCCAAGTTCGATCCCTACCACATCCCTGGTAGTACTGCATTTAATAGCCTTGTTTGTCAAGGTTCGTGTTTTAGTGTAAAGAGTTAAGAGAGGGTTGTAAACATAATATATTTTTTAAATGTGCCTTCTTGACTGTAATGACCCCATTGGCCTTCTCAGCTCTAATATTATTCATTTTTGTTTTATAAACTTGTATGTTAGTTTAACAATTTCCTATAAAAGACTGGATAAAATTGCTTGATGATCAGTTTAATCACAACTTTGAACTTTTAAATCCTTTTAAAATGTTTTGATAAGATTGAAAAGTTAAAATACACAGAAATGGTCAAAAAAGAGTAAAAACTTTTTGGATGTATATATACATCTATAGAGCGTATATAGATATAAATTTGCTGACTTTTTTTGCTGACTATAAAGGTTTGTTTTTTATTGTAGTATAAAGATCTTATTTGTAATATTAGGTCTTTTTATGCATATTTGCAAGGTAGAAATGCATAAAAATATTTAAATATTTTTAATATACTATTTGATATAGGGAATAATAAAGTAGTTTTGCAATTAATTAATTGTTGCATCCTTCAATCTTTCACAACCAAATTTTCTCACTTTTTTTTTTCAATTTCCAAATTTGGGTTCCAAAATGTTTGTTTGATGTTTTGTGAGTACCCAACACAATCCTATTTATTAACTTGTAACAATAAGCATCCTTGACACTGTTGTAACTTTTGCTAACTTTGTCACCCAAAAAGTCAATATAAAGATCTTATTTGAAATATTAAGGTCTTTTTTTGCGTTTTTGCAAAACAGAATTTGGCTTTAGGCGATTTTTTGATGCATAAAGTATATTTCAATTAATTTTTATTATTTTTCATTGTTTAACTGTTGCAATTTTAACAAATTGTTCAATTGAATTTTGAATAACATTTTAAATTATCTCGACTTGGAATTCAAAGCATTACAGAGTCCATGCAACATATACATTTAATATTTTACTGTTTTATTTATGCAACTATTTCTTTAAATGTTCATAAAAATTCATGCATTTATTTTCATTTATTTTTTCAGTGTGTTTATTTTCCAGTTGTATAAATTCAAAAATTGTTTTATGAACAATAATTATTTGTTCAAACTTTATTATATTTGTAATAATATCTATAACATATAGTTATATCTATAATATATAATTATATCTATAACATATAATGAATTTAAAACTAGTTTAAAACCAAACATAGGATCAAATTTGAACTGAGAATAAATCTTTGTTCTTATCTATTTAAGAATAGTCTTACATTTTTTTTTCCCCAGTGAATACTTGGGTACTATCAGTATCCAAGTAAGTCTAAGATAAAAAAAAGTTTAAATATTTTGTTTTTCTTAATTTTATTTGTGTCTAAAACATGGTAATACAATAATTTTACATATATTAATATATTACATATATTACATATATATTAATAATATTTATTAATTACATATATATTAATATATTAATATATTGCATATAAATTAATAATATCAGCAATATTAATATGTAAATATATTATACATATATATTATGTATATATATATATTATATATGTATGTATGTATTATATATGTATTTACAAAATACTATTAAAGTTTTAGAATTATTTACATTTACAACTCTTGGAATTAGGGTCGGCATTCTGCAATGCTGACCTTGCTGCTGACCTAAATGTGTTTGAGGTCGGTAAAAAATTGCCGACCTCGTTTCAATGTTTTATGGTTACCCCATTGTGTCAAATTTTTTTTGCCAACCTAATGCGGATCTCTAACAGTTTTCTCCTAATTCCAAGAAAATTTTCATTATTCTACAAATTTAAAATTATTTTCAAGTTCAAAGTATTTAATAATCTAATAACTATAGAATAAACAACAAATTTTAATGTATAATAATAATAAGTTTTTTTTCATGCAGTAACTCATCTATTGGGCAATCAAAAGGTTTATTTACAAACAAGTGTCACGAATTGCTTTCCTATGTGCAAGAATTTAAAGTAAATTGTTGAATAGTATAATAAATAAATTTACTTATAAAGAATCTAAATAAAAATTATTAACATTTTTAACAAATTTTTAACATTAAAAGGATGACTATGGTAACAAGTTGTCAGCTGTATTTGAAAAGCTACCTTCAAGATTGGTAAGTACATACTACTTCTCAATTTGAAAATTAAAAAGATTAGTTTTTTGTTTTGATTATTGGAATTTTTTGATTTCTAAGGAATACCCTGATTATTACCAACTCATTAAAAGACCAATTGATCTCTCTTATATTAGTTCAAGAATAAATAAGGTAAGTTTTTTTATATTCATGATACTTATGTTGATAAAAATTTTTTGTAGAACTTTATTTATTAGAGTTGCAAAGAAACAAGAAATAGTTAAATATTCATAAAAATAGTTAAATATAAAAATAGTTTTATATTTATAAAAATATTTGAATATTTATAAAAAATAGTTAAATATTTATAAAAATAGTTTAATACTTATAAAAATAGTAACATATTTTACATCTTCAAAGCAATGTGTGCCCTTCATTTGGATTGTGTTGGAATAAAGAAACTTATTGGTCAGTATCATAGTCAGTGAGAAATTGTTTGAAACCTATTAAACTCCAAATCAAGTTTTATAAATTTTACTAATTGAGCAGTAGTCACAATATTCCTCCACCCACTAAACTCTCTCAACTTTGCTCTACTCAATAATCGGGTGGACACGGAAAAATCCAGTCATCTTTAAATTGAGATTTCTCGAAAACCACAAATACTTTTTATTTAATTTTTTTTTTTAATTAAATCTTACTTCCTTATCTTAAATGGTGTTGATAAATTTTTGTTTACAAATTAATGATTTGCAAAATGTTTTGGAAACAAGTTGAGGTGCGTAAAAAAGTTGTGCATTTTTTTTGCAAAAATCCATTGACTTCCTATCGCTTGATTGCTAAATGCACAAATGTCCCAAAATCTATAGTCATAGATATTATAAACAAGTTCAAGACTACTCAATGCTTCGAAAGAAAACTTGAAAGTGGAAGAAAAAAAACTTTCCATAAATCCAAAAAGGTAAAGTCGATTTTACGTTCAATAGCAAGAAATCCAAATCAGTCACGGCGTGATCTAGCAATAAAATTTAAGACTTCTCATTCTTATATTAAAAAAGTACTTAAAAGTGCTGGAATTAAAGCACTTCATTAAAAAAATACACCTAAGAGAAGCTTAAATTGTGAAATTAAAGGAATTCGACGCGCAAAGAAGTTGATTAAAATAATGGCAGATAAAAATATGTGCATAATTGAAGAGGACGAAACGTATTGCAAGACGGATTTTTCACAACTTCCTGGTCAACAGTTTTACTATGAAAACAAAGATAAACCTGTCGATGATCAATTTAAATATATTCGACGAGAAAAATTTGCATCCAAGTTCCTTGTGTGGCAAGCAATTTGTAGCTGTGGTATGCAGTCCTCTTGTTTTGTCACTAAAAAGACCTTGACTGTTAATCTCTACATCAAAGAATGCCTCCAAAAAAGACTTTTTCTTTTTATAAAAAAACACAAATACCAATGTCTCTTTTGGCCCGATCTTGCTGCCTCTCACTATTCTAAAAAGGTTTTATAGTGGTGCAAAGATAATAATGTGAAAATTGTTCCTAAAGATGCAAATCGTCTAGAAGAGCGCAAGATTGAAGATTTTTGGGCAATAGTTAAAGGAGTTCTTCGTAAGACAGGTGGACTAACAAATAATAAAAAGGACTTCCAAAAAAAGTGGAATAATGCCACCAATTTGGTGAAAAAAGAAAAAATCTGTAAAATGATGGCATCAACCCGCTATAAAGTTCGATTTCTTGCCAAGCAACCCATCAAGTCCCTTAAAATTAAGTTGAAACTCTAATTTATGTAAACACATTTAATAATAAAAAAATTGAAATAAAAAGCATTTATGGTTTTAGAGAAATCTCAATTTAAAGTTGACCGGATTTTTCCGTGTACACTCGATATACTCTCTCAACTTTGCTCCACTCGATATACTCTCTCAACTTTGCTCCACTCGATATACTATCTCAACTTTGCTCCACTCAATATACTCTCTCAACTTTACTCCACTCGATATACTCTCTCAACTTTGCTCTGTCCAATTTTTGCCTATAATGACCATACTGAGGAGGAAAGTCAGAAAATCACATGACTTTAGAGAGGTTTATGTTTAATATTGGTCGTGATAAGTCTGCTTCATGTTTTAAATCAATTTCACTTTATGGTTCCATGAAAACAATTTTATCTGTCTGTCACTGTCAATATTGTATCTACAATCAGTGATGACAAACCCAGAAGCAGAAAGTGCCCTTTTAGATGATGCTGTTTCCACCATGTATTTCCATCATTTTCAGTTCTTCTTGTTTTTGGTATTTATCCATTTTCATTTTATAGGTGGATTTCTGGGTACCTGGTGTATGGTAGTATTTTTCTTATCCTTTTCCTTTGCTAAGAATTCATCTTCCTCCCAACTTTGTGTATTACCAGCATTACTACGATTGGAACTTGAGTAGTGATCAACCGAAACAGAAAAAAAGCTGAAACCTAGATAAAATTTTAAAATCTGAAAATCAGATAAAAATTTAAAATTTTGCAAATTTTTCGGTATGTTTTTCAACCGCAATTTCAGTTTTTACCGAATTTATAAAAAGTATGGAAACCAAAATTTCGGTATCGGTTTGAAATTGAAATTTCAGTCGAAACCAATACCGAAACAGAATTTCGGTCGATCACTAAGCTTGAGGCATATGATGGTGAATTCTCTAAATAGTTTTTGGTTGTGGGTTGGTTGTCAATAATTTTTTCATTCACATTTTCATCAAAACACCTAGATGTATACACAAAAATAGAGTTAGTGGCCTTATGCACGGAGTTGATGACTTTTGTCAGGGAATCTAGGAATAGTTTTGATAATAAGTCATTAAAGAATTTCTCTACTGATTTGCTTCCCTAAATATTTCTATAAATATTCAACTATTTTATAAATATTAAACTATTTTTATAAATATTTAACTGTTTTTATAAATATTTAACTATTTAAAATTTTTAACTATTCTTATAAACATGTAAGTGACTTATTCTTTCTAAATGAAGTTGATAAATGCCTAATAACATCCTTGGTCTAAATAACATTTTTGGCCTAGGGAGATATATATTTTTCAAAATACCATTAAGTATTTAATTGATCTGTTATTAGTGTTATTCTAAATTATTGAAAATTATTTGGCGAGTTATGCAAAAAAAAAAAAACATTAAGTCTCTTATGACTTTATAGTTGATTTTAAAGTGCGCCAACATTTTTTCTTATGTTGATAGTAGAGAGTTTAATATTATACTATATAGTTTTTATAAATTTTCAGAAAATTTCTATTTAATGTATAAAACAAGTTTATGTTTTTTAGTATACATCAATTGATGACCTCGAACAAGATCTTATGTTACTGTTTAACAATGCATGCCACTATAATGAACCGGATTCACAAATTTATAAAGATGCTATTGTACTTCTCCGTGCCATGATTGCAAAGAAAAATGAAATTTCACCGGACTTAAATACGTTTGTTCCTGATGTTGCTGGACTTGTTCACAAGTTGTTGGAATCTTTGTATACAAGTGTAATGCAGCACAAGGTTTTTTATTTTTTTGTTTTTAAGTTTGCCTTCATTTTTTAATTTTTCTAATTATTTTTGTTCATAATTTTTATTTTTTAACTGCTTGTTTATTTTTAACATGTTTTTCTTTTATTATTATTATTAAAAATTTTACCAAACATAATTTTTAGGATGAAGAAGGTCGTTGTTATAGTGACTCTCTTGTTGAACATATTGTTAAAGATGATTCAAAAAATGGATATCAGAGGTTTGACTCTTTGCCATTTAAATGTTTGTTGTTTTTTTTATTTATTTTAATGCCAAATTTTTAAATTTTGGTGATGGAAAAAATTGGTAAGTTTATATAAGTTTGATGATGTAATAAATATTGGTTTATATGAGTTACTGAAATGAAATAAACAATAATAACACTTTTATCATATATTAGGAAACCTATATCTTTGATTATCATTGGACAATTACTACAATTGGTAAATTTTTATAATTTTTAAATGTTGTTGTGTTTTTTCTTCATTTTAATTTTTTGTTTTTTATTTTTTAAATAGAGATTTTACAAGCGTCTTGATCGGTTGCAAGAAGATATTTTTTTGATTTTTAATAATGTTAGAAAAACATGTAGCACTGAAACTGAGGTTTGTTAAAACTAAATACAATTTGTATAAATTAAACATAACACTATTTATTCTTTTAAATTTAAAGTAATCTAAACAACCATGCACACACTAGCCATCAACAAATCTGCTAACAGTTGAAATAAAGTTTATTTTATTTAGATTGATCCTGATGCCCATAACAATCTGTTTTTATTTTTTGTTTGTTGATTTTTAGGTTCACAAAAATTTATGTCAATTTAAAACTGTTTAATTATTTTTAGATGTATGAGGATGCCTGCCAACTTCAAATACATTTTATTATAGAACGTGATAGGTTGACAAAAGATGGGTTACATTTTCTGTCTCAATCTGCAATTAATATCACTTTAAAGAAATTGCAACATGAAATTGATGTAGAGCGTAATGAGAAGCAAATAAGCGAAAACCAAGAACACCTTGATGAGTTAGATGGCTTGGGTAAAGTGACCACAACAGGATTAAAAGGAATGATGGCTTTAGAAGTAGTATGTTTATATTATGTTTAAATGTTAAATTATAAACCTGTTTAAGTATTAGTATTACATTATATATAGCGTTAGTATTATATATACATATACATATTTATATATATATATATATATCAGGCCTTGGCATGAAGAGAATTGTCCAGCGCGATGTTTTGCGCCCGTAAAACTCAAATATTTTTTAGCCAGCACGATTATGCACGCTCATCATTAAGTTATTGAGAGCGATCTTTTTTTTGGCTGTGGGTGTTCCACACTATTTTATTAATTTTTAATTTGTTATACAGCGTTCTTTAGAAAATAAATATTTTAAAAGTTTTATATAGCGCACTGCCTGACAAAACGTTTAAAATTCTTTCAACTTCCTAAATGCTTATTTAATATTTGATTGCATCTGATTGTGTTTTTTTTTTCCACCTAGTTCTTAATGATCTTGTTTTAAAGAATAAATTTATCTTTTATGTATTTTCTTTGTTATTGTCTTCATCTTTAACTTAATATTACAGTCAATTTTTTGTTATTATTACATCGATTTATTATAGAATTTTATAGAATTTTATAGAATTTCATAAGCTTTCATTTTTTTCATTGTTTCATTTGTTTAATTAAAATATAAATTTATGTTTTCGCATCATTAAAACATTAAAACAATGAAATAACGATTTCTTTTTGTTCAAACATATTTAATGTTTTTTCATTGCTAATGCTAATAGAATTTAATAACTTTTTTAGCAAATGTTTTCACAAATTTAAACTTTTCTTTTCCTCAAATAAGTTTATAATTTTAATTAAGTTATAAATAATATAAGTTATAATTTTAATAATAAAAGTTTTTAAATTTTCGGCCAAAATTTAACTAAATAATAAAAATTTAGTTAAATTTTGGCCGAAAACATTTCTAAAGCTCTTATTTACCGAATGATGTAGATTATTATTTAGAAAACAAGTTTTTTTAAATGTTTTACTTCTACTGCCAAAACGCAATTAAAAATTGTGAATAGTGATTATTTTGCTTTTAACAATAAGCAAACTATTCCGTTCAAAACACAACGTTTTTAGAAATATTTTTTGCGGAATAAAATAAAAAACTTTTATTATTATACATATGATTTTTAGCAAATGCTTTTACAAAATTAAATTAACAACGTTTTTTATAATTAATTTGTATTTATTACACAATTTAATATTATTAATATACTTATATAAATAAATAAAATTTTATTTAATTTTGTTAAATGTTTGCTGTAAACATTTTATATAAAGAAGTCTTATTCACAAAAAACCAATCATTGTTCGTAGAAATTTGCGATCTAATTTCAACAGAATGACGTAAGTTAACATGAAAAAATGAGTTTTTTAATTGAAGTATAACTTTAACTTTTTACCTCAGTTGAAAAAACGCAATTAAAGATATTTGAATAAAGATTATTTTGTTTTTAACAATAAGCGAACTTTTTTGTTTATTTAAACAAGAATTTTTGACAAAAACTTTTTATAAAAAAAATTAAATATAAAATCAAGTAAACCATTATTAGTTTTCTCCCTCCCAAATTTATAAGACGAGCCGATTCTTTACTCTCGTAACTAAATTAGCGAGCATGTTTCACATGATGGGAATGATCGCTCCCGCTTTATGCCAAGGCCTGATATATATATATATATATATATATATATATATATATATATATATATATATATATATATATATATATTAGGATGGCTCTCAAAACTACATTTTTTGAAAATGTCTGCTGGTACCCCCTAAATGTGTTCTATGTAATAAATTAATACTAAATTTATAATATTTTTGAATAAAAAAATTTTAGGGGTTGCTCAAGACCCTTAAACATAAGGCTTAATATTTTGAAAGAAAAAGCATATCGTGTTGGGTCTCAAAAGAAGTGGAATTTTATAAAACACTCAAAAACAATAATCATTTTATATAAAGACTAATTTAAATTTTATGACTTAAAAACTGTTTTTTAACAAAAAAATTTAATATCGTTTTTTAATCGTTAACAAAATTTTAATAAAATATTGTTTTTTAACAAAAGTACATATTTTCATAGTTTTTTTAAATAAACTTTTTTTATTTTTGTTTCCATAATTTTTTTTTAATTATTTTTGAAATTTTCATAAAATTTCATTTTATTTGAGACCAAGCCTTTCCAGGAAAGGCGTGCGTTTTTTTTACTCGTATGACCACACGCGATTACACTATTTTAGAAAACGGGAACACGGCCGTTTGCAAAATAATAATGCTGAAAAAGTTTCAAAAACAAATAAAACATAACTAACAAAATAAAAAGAGATTGAAATAGAAAAAAATAAAAACAAATTAATAATTTGTGTACTGTTTTTATTTTTGTTTCTTTAGAGTTACATTCAGCAACAAAAATTAGATAAGGCGAAGCAAAAAAAAAAAACAGTTTGAAGTCTACAATAAAAAAAATGATTTTCCTATTAATTTTTTTAAGAGGATAGCAAAAATACAAATTGCAATGTGTTTGTAAAATTATTTATGTAATTTTAATGTAACAACAAGGGTTGAATTAAGCGAATGCAAAACGCAAAATCTGGAAAAATATCTAGTATTCAAAATTTTAGTTTATACAAAATCGTGTTTCTTGTTTTTAAGGGGAGAATCAACTTAAATTTGTTAGCGAAAAAATAAAACAATAAACTCTGATTACAAAAGTAATAACACTCTAGTCACTAACTGCATTACAAAAGTAATAACAGTATAATAGTGTTATTATTTTTATAACGCACTTATAACTTTTAAAATTCATTCTTTGTTCAAGCAACATTAATATTCCCATATTTTAATTGAAGTAGAAAAATATCTAAAAGAATAAAGTAGATGTTCAAATAATATTAAAACTAAAGTAACTTATAAAAATGTGACAAACAACTTTATGAAAATGTATCGTATTAAAAGTTTAGCATTATGAAAAACGTTACTAATGGACCGTAAAAACAGGCGTTAATTTTAAAATTAACCAATAAAATTTTTTTATTGGTTGATTTTAAAATTAACGCCTGTTTTTACGTAACATTTTTCATAATGCTATACTTTTTATTAAGTACTTTTTTATAACGTTGTTTAAGTGATATGTGAAAGTTCCTGAAATTTTTAATAATATTTGAATATCCGCTTTATTTTTTCTAGATGTTTTTCTACTTTAATGAATGTTTGGAATTAATAATGTTGTTTGAACAAAGAATGAACTTTAAAAGTAATAAGTGCTTTATAAATGTAATAACACTGTTATAGTTTTATTACTTTTACAATGCAGTTAGTGACTAAAGTGTTATTACTTTTGTAGTCGTAAGTTTATTGTTTTTGTTTTGTTTTTTGTAACTTTCTCGCTAGCAAACTTTTAATAATTTGCTCCTTATAAACAAAGTACATAAACTAAAATTTTAAAGACCTAATATTTTACCAGAGATTGCAAATTGTGATCGTATAATTTAACTCTTGATATAAAATTGTTACATTATAATTAAATATATTTTATTAACAGATGACGATACATATTTTCTCTTTCCTCTTTAAAAGAAAAAACACATAAAATATGGGAAAGTCATCCTTTTTAACCTCTAAAACAGTTTTTTTTTTTTTTTGCTTTGACTTAATGAATTTTGTTGCCAATAATAATAACCACTAAGAAAAAACAAAAATAAAAAGAACACAAAAATTATTTAAACTATTATTATTGTTTTCTATTTAAGTTCACTTTAATTTCTTAAGTTGTTATTAAATTTAAAACAATTTTTCAGCAATGCATATAATAAAACTTGCGCAAACAGCTGTGATCACGTTCTCTAACTTGTAAAACGTTTTCGTGGTCGTACGAGACAAAAAACCGCATGCTTTTCCTGTGAAGGCTTATTTGAGACCCAACATGATATGCTTTTAAAGAACTTTTCTTTCAAAATATTAGGGATCTGTCTGATGTTTAAGGGTCTTGAGCAACCCCTAAAAATTTTTTTTAATCAAAAATATTTTAAATTTAGTATTAATTTATTGGGGGTACCATCAGACATTTTCAAAAAATATTGTTTTATGAGACACCCTAGTGTGTGTGTGTGTGTGTGTGTGTGTGTGTGTGTGTGTGTGTGTGTGTGTGTGTGTGTGTGTGTGTGTGTATATAATATATATATATATATATATATATATATATATATATATATATATATATTTATATATATATATATATATATATATATATATATATATATATATATATATATATCTGTGTGTGTATACACATATACATATATATTATACTGCATTTTAATAGAATGAATACTGAATATTACTTTATAGCAACCAGATGAGGAAACTCTGACTTATGCAAACTCCATTGTTTTTAATGGAATTAATTATTCAGTTGGAGATTTTGTTTATATGAGTACAGATGAAAACAATAGACCCCCACATATTGTTTCTATTGAAAAAATATGGAAACAAGAAAATGGATTAGAAGTATATATTTTTTTGAAGTTTTTGGTTAAAGTAGTTTTCATACATGTATACATTCATACATACATGCATACATACATTCATACATGCATACATGCATACATGCATTCATACATGCATACATGCATACATGCATACATGCATACATGCATACATGCATACATACATACATACATACATACATACATACATACATACATACATACATACATATATATATATATATATATATATATATATATATATATATATATATATATATATATATATATATATATATATATATATATATATATATATAAACATATATATAAACATATATATAAACATATATATAATTAAAGGGATTATATGGAAATTGGTATTTTCGACCAGAGGATACATTTCACTTAGCTTCAAGAAAATTTATGGAGCAGGAGGTGTTTAGAAATCTGCATTCAAGTTATATGACTTTTCAAAGAGTTATAGGAAAGTGTTATGTCATGAATGTTAAAGACTATCCAAAGTACAGACCTGAAGTAGGTATTTTTGATTTTATAATGTTAAAGGCAAAAGTTGAGGTAGCTAAGTTTCCTAAAAAGTTTTTAAAAAGTCGACTCATGGTTAAAGGGTTTTGAATCCAGGTAGAATATTTGCACCTATTGTGCATAAAGCAAGCAGTTATGTTTATGTACATAAACTCTTGAATATAATTTTAGTTTAATTATAGCTGTCTAGTTATGAGACATGCTTGGCTTACTGTGGATCTTTCAACCAATTATAACCAATAAAGCTTCTTGGATATGGCTTTTATGAATGTGACTATATCTTTTTTTTTAAGGGGTTTGAAGACAAAGATGTATTTGTATATGAAAGCAGATATAATATGAAGATGAAATCATTTAAAAAAGTGAAGGTACCTTTTTTTTTCTTTTTAAATTAAGTTTATTTTTACAAAATTATAGTTTTTCAGAGATTTAAAATTTTATATATATATAATTGGTTTTAATTAAAATTAGCAAAGAACTATGAAAAATAATGCACTTTATTGTCACTGGTGACAAAGGAATTGGCCAAAAAGAGGTTTTGTGTTGTGTCACAAATGGATTTTTATTCAAGAGTATTTGTCTTGTAACAATAGAAAATAGTTTTTTTTTTATAAATTTGAACAAAGGGCTAGTCATAATTGGGGCAAAACAGTAAAATTGAAAGAGTCTTAGCCCATTTAAGCATTTTAGATGCGCGTTACAAATAGAAAAGAGTGTTTTTAAAAAAATGATAAGGGTCACAAATGGGGCAAAGGGTAACATTGAGTAAGCCTAAACTCATTTAAGCATTTTAGATGCCTATTACAAAAAAAGTTTATAAATTAAGTTTCAAATATTTTAAACAAAGTTTAAAACAATAAAAAAAATTAAATGTTTTTATTGTTTTAATCTAACAAAATAATATTTTGTATTTTTTATATAGACATTTCTACCACATGCAGCTCATGTGGTTCTTGTTGAACGTGATCAGTTGTTAACTATAAAACGTTTTTCAACCATTACTCCAGAGAGTAGTCAATTTTCACAAAGTGACAAAAGTGACAAAAGCAATCAAGTTATTGAGTCAACTGATGGTTATGAGCACCCTAAAGAAGAAGTAAGTCATATTTAAGTCATAAAATTTATATCACAAATAATTTTTTTTTTAATGTTTTGGTTTAATAACATTTTAAATTTTCATTAAAACTTTTTTTAAATAAAAATACTTGTTTTGTGCAAACCTTTTTTTTAATTTTTAAATAATTTTAAAAAAATATAAGTATTATGTATTGATACCTTAAAGTGAGACTTTTGCCTTCTAAAGTGACAATATAGCTTGTTTTTTTAATCTCAAAATACTTATATCAGTGAACTTATTTAAATATTATAACTCTAACGTCAAATGATAGAAGTACCCAAGCTATTTTTTTTTTCCTTTAAATTAATAAAGTTTTTGAATACTTGGTGAGCAATCCAATCCCATTTCATGATAGTTTAACACATGGTATTTTATCAATAAATAACTTAATGAATAGTTAGCGCAAAAATAACAATTTAAATAAATAACAATTTTGAACCTGAGTTAAAAAAATCTTGAGAATCATCTATCGTTTTTTGTAAATGTCAATTTTTTATTAGAAGAATCATAAAAATGCCCACATAAAAATCATAAAAAATAAAAAGTCATAAATAATAAAAATAAAAAAAAAGTGTTTATAAAACTTTAGAAATTGTTTGATTGCTTAATTCTTGTCTTTTTAAAAGCATTGTAAAACTGAAGTATCTAGCCCCGACAGTGGTTGCACTTACTATGAAAAGTATGTCACTGATACAGATAGTTACAAAATTGGTATGTACACTTTATAAAATTATATAAAGATAAAATTTATTTTCAATAAAACAAACAGTAAAGTAATTTTTTTTTATGTGGGTTTTTGGTGTTTATTTGAGCTTAGCTGACATTTATTCTAAATAAGTGTGTTTATGTAAGCTTTTAGTGTTCATTTTTAGGTGATGGTGTTTATGTAAAATGTGATGAAGATTATTTGCTGATGTCAAAAATTGATAAAATATGGACTGATTCAAGGTTGTTGTGTTTTTCAATCATTTTTGTTTTTGTTTTCAAAAGTAAAAATGCTTTTTTATGAAATAAGAATGAAAAATTAAACAATACTGAAATAAAAAACAAAAAACAGATTTGCTTCGTTCAATCATTGATGTGTTAAAAAATTTGTTTTTAGCTTGAAAAGCTAACAACAATTTTGGTACTCCTTGTTTTCTGTATAAAAAATAGATGAATACTTGTTACCCCTCGTTTACTGTATAAAAAATAGATAAACTTTAGAGTATGTCAAAAAAGAATGTTTTAAACTTTAGAAGTTTAGAAGAATGAGAATTTAGAAGAAAAGAATTTAGAAGAAAGAAAGAATTTAGAAGAAAAAAAAAGAGTCAAAAGAGAATATTTTTAGAGATTTAAAATTCACGATCTTTTTTATTAAAAACATAGTGAAAAAATGTTATAGCTGCAAAATGCAGGGGCGAATCCAGTATTTTTTGATGTTTGAGTTTGTTAGCTTTCAGACATAGAGCAAATTCTAAACATTTATATGGTTATACTATGTTAAATAAATATACTATGCAAAAAATTGCAATTGGAGCCTGGGAACAAAAAAAGCCTTGAAGTTGTTATTGTCCTCTGCCCCAAATTAATAAAATATTTTTTTATTTGCTATTCTCAAACTAAAGTTCTTAAATATCTAAAATGCTGGATCTGCCCCTGCCCCCTGCCCCTGAAATCTCATAATAAATCACTGTATCAAAAGTGTTGTTTTTTGAATATAAAATTTAAGTGATTGATATCTATTTATTATTATCTATTAGATTGATATATATATATATATATATATATATATATATATATATATATATATATATATATATATATATATATATATATATATATATATATATATATATATATATATATATATATATATATATACTTTTTAACTAATATATTGGTTAGCAATATAGTTTTAGGTATGAAAATATTTAAATTTGAGCAAATCTTTTGTTATAAATGATCAAATTTTTGTTGTTTGTTATTGTTATGTTTTGATGCATCTGATATGAAAGTAGGTAATGTTCAAACACTAGTGCTGAATTAATAAAAATGGTTGATGGTGGTTGTAGTTTGTATAATTTGTAAAACTTTCACAATTTTATTGTTTTGATCAATTGAAAGTTTATATTTCATAACTAAACAAAAATAATAGTTTGTGAATTATTATAATTTTTGATGTATGTTTAAACTGGTAGTTCTTTTTTATTACAGTGGTACTCCATACTTTCAAGGCAACTGGTACCTCACACCTGAAGATACCAAACATGTTCCAACTCAATTGTTTTATGAAAAAGAATGCTTTGAAAGTACAGTGGAATGTGTTGAAATGCTTTCTCAAGTTGCAGGAAAATGTGCGATACTTAACTTGCGAGATTATCAGTTTTGTAAGTATAAATTAAAAAAATTTTTGTAAGTATAAATTAAAAAAAATTTTGTAAGTATAAATTAAAAAGTTCATTTTTACTCTTTATTTTTCTATTATTAAACTTTTTTATTAATTGTTTTTTGTCATTTGATGTTTTGCTTTTTAGAAGAATGATGAGTTTAAATTTTGTGAAGCAAAAATTTAAACTCATTTTGAATTCATCAAAAATTTAAACTCATAAGTTTTTGTGAAGCAAAATTTAAGCTCATTTTAAATTCATCAAAAATTTAAACTCATAAATTTTTGTGAAGCAAAAATTTAAACTCGTTTTTTTTTGAATATTAAGTTTTTTTTAAATTTAATAGTCATAAATAATTGTAATAGTTGATTCTAAAAAATAAATAGCAAATATTTTGTTATATAAGCATTTTCTCATAGTTATGATGTCTTTTCTAAAATTATGCAAAATTTTTTTATTTTTTTTTTATTTTAGTCAAATCATGATTTTCTGAAATTAAATTTTTTTCTTTATGTTTTTCTATGTGATTGCTTTGTTTTTTTAAGCATTAATATTTAATAACCAATTGAAAAAATAATTATAAAAAAAAATAATGATTCCTTTAAACCCTTTTCTGTCATAATAATTTATTTTTTGTTAGTGCGACCAACAGAAATTGATGAAAAGCATGTATACATATGTAGTGCTATATATATTGAAGAAGAAATGAAATTCAGAAGAAGAACAAAAGGATTTAAGGTTTCTAATAATTTCTATTTAAACTGACTACTTCCAAAAAAAAATAAGATAATAAAATCGAATATAAATATTTATGTATTAAGAAATTATGTGTAAAGTGTGTGTAAATATTTATGCATGTCAACTCTCAGAATTAGGAAAAATGAGGTTGGCAATAATTTGCCGACCTCAATCTTTTAAAAGTCGGCATCAGGTCGGCAAATAAAATGTGATACATATATATATATATATATATATATATATATATATATATATATATATATATATATATATATATATATATATATATATATATATATATATATATATATGTATATATATATATATATATATATATATATATATATATATATATATATATATATATATATATATATATATATATATATATATATATATATATGTATATATATATATATATATATATATATATATATATACACAAACCTTGAGGAGAAAGGCCACTGAATGAAGAAACCAGTTGAATGCTGTGATACCAGGGATGTAGTTTGGTTTGAAATCTACCTCGTCTTAACAATTTACTGAAATATAAATAAAAATGCTAATTTGTTATAGTATATTTTTAATGTGGATATTTTTATAGTATATTTTTAGAGGCAACTGAATAAGTGTGAATTTCATAAATGCAACTGGCATAGGTGTGAACTGGTGTAAGTGTAAACTTGCATAAGTGCAAACTGGCATAAGTGCGCTAAAAGAATTTGCAAACATTGGCATAAGTGCAAACTGAGATAAATGTGAATCAGTTGCAAAAACAGGTACAAATGCAAACTGACATAAGTGTCCAGAAAGAACTTGTAAACAGCATAAGTATGCGTAAGTGGCCAAATGAGTTTGGATTGGCATAAGTGCGAAGCATTTGCAAAAACTGGCATATGTGCAAACTGGCATAAGTGCAAAGCATAAATTGGCATATGTGTGAACTGGCAAAAAATATTTGCAAAAACTGGCATTAGTATGCCAATTTTTGCGCCATGAATTTGAAAACATTGGCATAGAGATATGCATTTATGCCAATCTTTACAAGTTCTTTCGGAGTGTTTATGCCAATTCACGCTTATGCCAGTTCGCTCTTATGCCACACACATAATTCACACTTATGTCAATGTTTACAAATTCTTTTGGTGCACTTATGCCATCTATTATTATTATTATTCGCATCTATGCCAGTTCACACTTCAGTTATCAGTTTTTGCAACTGCTTTGCACTTAGCCAGTTTGCACTTATGCCAATGTTTGTAAATTCTTTTGGTGCACTTTTGCTGGTTTTTGCAACTGCTTTGCACTTATGCTTGTTTCCACTTATGCCAATGTTTGCAAATTTATTTGACGCACTTATGCCAGTTCACACTTTGCCAGTTTTTGCAACTGTTTCTCATTTATGACAGTTAGCACTTATGAAATTTGTACTTATTCAGCCTCCCATATTTTTAATGTGGATATAATTTTCAAATATATACTATACTGTTGAAGTAATAAAACAATTGTTTATATATTTATTAACACCTTAGCTTTATATTAAGTTGTATTCATTTTTTGTAATAAATTGATGTTTAGAATTAATAGTATAGTCTATAGAATAACAACAACAACAACAACAACAACAAGAAATTTATTTTTCTCAAAATTTACAAGCATATAGTAACAATAATATAATAATAATAATAGCAATAATAACAATAATAATAATAATGATGATGATGATGATGATGATGATGATGATGATGATGATGATGATGATGATGATGATGATGATGATGATGATGATGATGATGATGATGATGATGATGATGATGATGATGATGATGATGATGATGATGATAATAAGAGTATCTATAATATTATAAAAAACAAAATCATAATATCATTATTAAGAATAAATATAAATAATTGATTGACAAGGAAAGAGTCACTCATGCAGAAACCTGATCTAAGGAGTGACACCAAGTAATTATATTAATAATATTAATTTAAAAAACAACAGTTATAACAATAATAATAAAAATAGTAAATAATAAAAACAAAGTAATTATATTAATAATATTAATTTAAAAAACAACAATTATAACAATAATAATAAAAATAGTAAATAATAAAAACAAAGTTTCTATAGAAATAGTAAGAAGAAAAAGAAAAATAAGAAAACTAAAAGAAGTTAATAATGATAAAAAATTAAAATAATTTGTTTAAATTTATTTTGTTTTAAATAAAGAAATGAAGATAAATTATTTTAATTTCTTAATCTCATTCACAATGCACACAAAACTTGATGCACTGGTGTGTAATTAAATACTTACCATACCTCAAAGTTTTACAGGTAGGTACATTTAGTTTTCCATTATTGATGTTTTTAGTTAAATGCGGATGTAATGCCAGTTTGCACTTATGCTAGTTTTTGCAACTGCTTCCCACATGCTTGTTTGCACTTATGCCAATTCGTACTTATGCCAGTTTGCGCCTATGCCAATGTTTGCATATTCTTTTGGCGCACCTATAAATAAATTTATAAAAACTAATAAAATGTTTTTTAGTATACTAAACATTTTCTAATTATCTATATTTTTGCTTTTGTTAAATTATGAGTCCTATAATAGTTTTATCTAAAAATTTTCCAGCATTTATTTAAGCGCAAGTTTATTTCTCCATATTTACTGCATATTTTGCATCATATGGATTTTTTTTACTAACTTGCTCTTAAATAATTTTAGGGATAAAACTTTTATCGGACTCATAATTTAACAAATATTTTTTTCTTTCAGTTTTGTAACAAATAGTGATATCAAACAAAATAAAAATAAAGATAAAAACATAACAGAAATAAAAAACTTTGTTTTAATATACTTTTTAATCTTATTTTTGAATTTTTATTACTATAAATAATATATAAAAAATTTAATAATGAATTATAGGTCAAAGAATAGTTTTTTTTAAATTCATGTAGTCAACTATGCAACAAATTTTTTAAAAACCATGTAGTCAACTATGCAACATACAAATTTGCATTATTCAACCATGTAGTCAACTATGCAACATACAAATTTGCATTATTCAAACTAAAACTAAAAGTAAATATAATATTAGCTCTATAATATGCACTTATAAATAATAAAATCTGTTTCCTTAGCTAATAAAGATGATTTTATAATAAAAGATGCCTGTTCACTATTAGATGCTGAATCACCTGCTGTAAAAATTTGGAATATAACGATTTATATTAGGATAATATTTATAAATTTATATATATTTTTAGTAAATCTTTTTTTGTGTGTGATTTTATTTAACAATTTATTAACATTTATTAAAAAATAAATAGAAATATTGATGATCAGTATTTTAGTAAATAAAAAAATATGGAAATATATTGATAATCATTATTTTAATAAATAAAAAACAAGTATGTTGATTATCAATATTTTAGTAAGTAGGTACATTAAGATTATAATTTTTTTAATTTTATTTTTTAAAATATCGATCAAAATAATATTGGTTTAAATAAATTTTTTTTTTAATATGCATACTATCGTTTTGTTGTTTGACATTTTTGTTTTGACGTTTTTAATTATAAAATCATTTGAAGTTGACACAACCAAGGTTGAAGTTGACACAACAAAGGTTGAAGTTGACACAACAAAGGTTGAAGTTGACACAACAAAGGTTGAAGTTGACACAACAAAGGTTGAAGTTGACACAACCAAGGTTGAAGTTGACACAACAAAGGTTGACACATTTGTTTATGATTTACAAGATTGCCTAAAAGTTGTTTAGAGGGAAAACTTTCTATCAGCTTTTACCACTGTGAATTTTTACCTCCTTGTTTGTTAGATATATAGTTGTTATATAAATAACTAATTTCTATTAATAATCATTTACAATATTTTACCATTTTTGCTAAATTAGGGAGCATCCTTAAAGTTTGTATCCCCCTCCCGTTCCCCCCCTCCTCTTTCTCCTTGTACGAACCTGTACACTTTTGAAGACACCCCCCCCCCCACCCCAAGAAAAAAAAAATTAACTCAATTTCTTTATTCCTCCTCATTATTTATAAAGAAATAAAAACAAAATTGTTACTGAAGTTAGAAAAAGAAACAATTCTGATTTGTTATACACATGATATTCAATGTTTTAAAAAATATAAAATCATGCTTAGGAAAGATAGCCAACCGTGTACATACTCACTGTCTTTAATACCCTTCCCCTCCTCCTTCCCTTGTATGTATTTGTACACTTTTGGGAAACCCCTCCTCCCCCATACCTGCCTACATACTTTATGGATGGCTCTTTACAGTGTTTAACATTTTTACAAAGTTAACAATCATTAAAAATATATTTATTCAGTTTTTATATTTTCATTTCTTTAGGTTTAAACAACAATTCTTTAGGTTTAAACAAAATAACTTTAAAAATCCTATAACTGTAATAATGTATACAATGTTGTATATATGTTGATGTATGTATACATGCATGTATGTATGTCTGTATGTATGTATGTATGTATGTATGTATGTATGTATGTATGTATGTATGTATGTATGTATGTATGTATGTATGCATTGCTAATTTAACTAGTTTTTTAGAGAGCAATTCTTCCTGCTAATGTTCGTGATGATGAACTGTGGTACTTTGATGAAAGCATTAATCCGAACAGAGTAATTAGTTATTTTCTGATGTTATTCATTTGCATTTGGAAATTTATTACTTTTAGGTTAGTAATTTTTTTTTTCCTGCATTTAAAGCGACCTTCTCTATGGTTGATGCCTTGGGGAGAGCAAGATATTGCAGTTCCTGAACAAAAAGCAGAGGTTTGTTTTTTGAAAAAAGTAGATTCTTTGCTTGAGTGATTTTTATTGCATAAAAAGATTTGTTGTGTTTGTTTTTCGAAATTTAAAATTAAATAAAAGTATTTTACTTTTAATTCATGCTATTTTTAGGAGTCTGGATATAGCCTCATGAAAAAAGAATATACATCATTACTAATGAAAGAAAACTTTTCTCTGGATGAAGCTGAGGCTAAAGCTTTGGAAAAGTGGAATGGCATGTCAAACGAAGAAAAAAATGATTACAAGTTGCGTCAGAAAAACCTGTTGGCCTCTACGTTATATATTTATGAGTGTGGTTGGGGCATTTGTGACTATCAATTTGAAGAAAAATCTGATCTCATTGTGCATGTTATGGAAGGAGCTCATCTTTCTAAAAAAGGTCTTTTGGACTATTGTAGTAGAAATTATTTTGCAGAATAAGTCTAAAGAAATTTTTAAATAATCTTGCTATAAAAAATTTTTTTTTTTTTTATAAGGTTTACGAATGCAATATGGTTGTCTATGGAGAGGCTGTTTGCGCAAAATAAATAATCTGCCGTAAGTGTAAAAAAGAAAAACACTTTTTAAAAAAGATTTTTTGCCAACATCAAAACTGCTAAAAATTTCTCAATTAATAATCAAAATTACTTAAATTAAAATAAGTCAAATATTATACAAAATTATTTGTATATCTAAATATAAATCGAATGTTATACAAAATTATTTATATATCTAATTACAAGTCATCATAGTTATTTTTATATAAAATGTTTCAAATTATTTCAAATTATAGAGCTTTTTCAACTCACTCAAGATTGCTGCATCACATACGCGAGGTTCACTTCAAAAATGCTGGTAAAAGAATATGTCGCAATGAAAAATCTAGGTAAAGATTGATTTTTATTTTGCACTCAATGTTTTTAAATATTTTAAAGTGTTTCTGGTGTTATTGTTATGCTTTTTAACTGGTTAATTTTAAGAAATTTAAAAAATTTAATTTATATAATCATATAAAAACTTTTACAATGGATGTAAATCTTTATTTTTAAATTGATTTTTACGACAATATTTCAAGGGAGTATAGATATCTATGTTATTAAGTATAGTATAAATATAAAAAACCAAAAAAAACAAAATGAAAACAAATCAATGCAATATTTTTTTTTTATTAAAATATCGAAACATATGTTTGTAAAAAGTTGTGACATTATCTCTGTTATCCAGATTCAGACCACTGTCTAAAGGTGCATATTTAGGACATTGATTTTAAGTGCATCCTTCATTTTTATGTTAAAATTATTGATCTCTACTTTTAGAGTATTTTTAATATTCCATGCAAAATTACCATGACAATTTTTTGAATGTTCTGCTATTGCTGAATTATCTAATTTTCCTTCGTATGTATTTTTTTGATGTTGGTAAATACAAGATAAAATTTTTAATTTTATTTTAATGGTATAACATTTTTTGCAGTTTTTTGTAATATTTTCCAGGCTTATTTTTTTATAACAATTTTCTAAAGAGCTTTTTGCATATTCAGTAGAGTTAAAATGATAATGGGAGTCATCGATATATCTTCTAAATGACTTTGAATGAATATTATTGGAAACCTCTTGTGAAATAGCATTGCTTTCATGAAACTATAAAAAATACTCTGCAACTACTACCATAAGTTCTAAACCAATAGGTTCAGAATCTTCTAGTTCATTAATGTTGTGTTCATATAAAAAATAACAATAATAAAAACATATATCTAAAAGTGTTTTTATTTCATCAAAGATATTTTTGATGTAAAACTAGGATCATTTATAGGATCTCTCAATAAGAACATTTATAGGATCTCTCAATAAGAGGATATGAATTAATTATATCAAAAGACACTTGAATTTCATCTTTCTCAATATTCCATGATTCGGCCAAGTTTATAAATTATTGAAAGTTTTTGTGTATTATTCTTATTGTGGATAGGCTGTATCATATCAGTTAAGAATTTTGAAATTTTGTTTGTAGCCATTCCTATGGAGCTTACGATACCTCGCATCAGATGTTTTTTTCAGGCTTATGGGCTTTGATGACTCCATACAAATGAGATGGTATAGCATCACTCAAGTAAAAAATCTTTATACTCTTTTACTGAAAACTGACCTGCTTTATTGAGTTTTCTGAGTGTGTTTTGAACTTTACAAATGACTTGAAGAGTTGGATCATAGTTGAGTATTATGCTCTGCCTCCTAAATGTATTTTTGCTAACATACTATCAGAGTTAATGTGCACTAGTCCGAATCCTTTGTTGAACGGATATACATTTATATTGTTGTCTTTCTTGATCTCATAAAGGGCTTTACATTGTTCTTTATCTAGATTACTTTTTATCATAATTCAATACCATCAGTTTTTTTCTTGTTATACTGTAATTTTAGAGCAGATGATTTAGTAATCATTATAAAATCTAAATAAAGTTTTTTAGATTGGGGACAAATTTTGGACCAAGATCTAGTACTTTTTTATGATGTATTGTTATATCAGAATTAGTTGAATTAACCTCTTTAACTTTTTAAATAGATTTGTAATGGCTGTCATTGCTGTTTTGTTTATTCAGCAACTTTTTGTGAGATAACTTTTCAAATTTTTCTTTTAATTTTTCCCTAGGTTTTATAAACATTCATTCATAAGACTATTTGGTAACATTTATTACAGTTTGAAAATCGTGTTTGTTGTTAACAAATGTTTGTATTTAATCTTCACAAAGTTTAGCTTCACTTTTTAACGGAAATATTGTTTCTTTGCCTCATTTTTTATATGGCACAGTAGATCATCTTTATATTTTTCTGTTAGCTGAAGTTCTGTTTAAATGCTTAAATCTGTTTTGATACAATGTGAGATCATTAACTAACTAGATACTCTGACTATAAAACTTACACTAATCTTAATCTCTAGTGTTTTGTTAGATTTATTGTTTTTCCTAATGCATTTTCAAAATATCATTCCTAATGTACTCTTTGCAGGAAATAATTCCTTTTAATTACTCCAGGTCAGGTCAGGTTCAAGATCATCATGATCACCCTGCTACTGGTATCATGTAACCCAGTACTACCTGCCCCATGCCCTACTGCTTTGATACAGTATGCTGTTTTATGCAAAGGCTAGGAGAAACAAAACTGCAACTTAAAAATGTCCTGCCTTGGGGATTTTGGTTGAATAAAGGCTAGAGATGGTGTCTCGATAAAAATACTCATCTTGGGCAGATGTTAACTGCATCCACCTACTGTCTTGTAGGAGGCTGATTAGACAAAGACTTTAGGGGTAAGCAGAATAATTTTGCTAACCAGCCTTAAGTCGCTTTTTCATCTATTAGGCTGGTGTATATGTAAACCTGTGTTTACACAGGTTTACATATACACCATTTTATATTGTTTCCTGCCTAGGATCATGTATGCTGGATTTTCTTGACTCTACTCATAGGTTTTTGCTTGTACCTCCTTGATAGTGGCTATGCAACTCTTCTTGTTATTTTCTAATGAGGATACATCTCTAAAACTCAATTTAATGGTTCTAAGTCTGGCTGGTAATAAGGTTTCCTGAACTATGTGGTAGTTGTCAGTGAGGCTGATTCCATCAACAGCTGCAAAATATCAGAGTATTAACAGTGCAATGTTGCCCATGGATAGTGTCTTTGTTAATACTTTTAGTGTGCATTGTTGAGCCCACATAAGGAGCCCTATGTTACGACTTAAGAATAATTAATAGGACTGAGACAACTGCAAGCTCATTGCTTTGGAGGTTGTGCTCCATCTATGAATGAGTCAAGTTCTCTTTAAACTTAAATCATACCAAAAGTAATCTGAAATATTAAACATAAAAAGCTGTTTGCACTACCTAACTGTTTTAATATATTTTTTACAAATACTCATGGTCTGCAAAGCAATCTTCCATCTCGCAAAATTCAGCAGACTTGCTTTCTATTAGTGAGACTAATTTAAATTCCGCTATTCCTTTTTCTGATCTCAGTGTTGATGGGTACTATCTTTTTATTCGCAAAGACTCCAATAGCCATATGCTTGGCTTGTGGGTATACATTAGCATCAATTCACCTATTTGTCGTGAAATCAGGTTCCAAGACTCCAATAGCCATATGCTTGGCTTGTGGGTATACATTAGCATCAATTCACCTATTTGTCGTGAAATCAGGTTCCAATCCTTTAACCATTTTTTTATGTGCTTCCGCTTAGCACCTTTTTGTTCTTTATCATTCTCTTTCTTTCCAAGACTTTTAGATTTTAAGTGCATCCTTCATTTTTATGTTCAAATTATTGATCTCTACTTTTAGAGTATTTTTAATATTCCATGCAAAATTACCATGACAATTTTTTGAATGTAGTTTCTGATCAAATTGACCATGTCTTTTTTCTTTACCCCTCTGCTAATATGTTGTTATTGGTAACTTTATACTCATCACACTGATTGGCTTAGCTCTAACGCCACTTACCCTGCTGGCACTAAAACCTATAACTTCTGCATTCCTCAATCTCTTACTCAGAATCTTAACTTTGTAACTCGTTTTCCTGACATCATCATCTCTTATCCTAGCTTGCATTTAATTTTTCCTTTTTTTTAGGTGGTTAATTTTCTCCCTGGTGGTTCTATGGTTATAGGTAGTTCTGACCATGCAATAATCTCTTTAAATCTTTCATGTTGTACTTCCTTTTCGGACTCACCCTATTATCACACTACTTACTACTACCCTAAAACTGACTGGTATTCTTTTCATGTTTTGTTTTGTGACAGTCCTTGGGCTGTCTTGAAAATACTGTTTGATGGTGCTGTCTAATGCTTCATTATTCTCAGTTCACTAAATCTCGTATCTTATCTTAGAAGTTCTTATTACCTCTCCCAAGGATATGGCAGAACTATTTGCAAAAAACTTTTTTCAAACTTGACTCTTGAATTTTAAAGCCATTCACTTTCTTCCATATCAATTAAACAGGTTGGTCGATTGTTAGACATTCAAATCACTCTAGCTTTCATTGCTAAAGTCATCTCAGTTAAACTTTTTTACAGCTTGTGGTCCAGACAACATTTCTGTCACAGTCTTACAAAATTGTTCTCCAGAACTCTCTTCAATTCTCTCTAAATTATTTAATAAGTGCTTGACTGAGTCTTGTTTTCCTACTTGCAAAATTAGCATCTGCTAAAGTTGCATCTCTTTATCAAGCTTGACACTTTCTTACTCCGAATTCTATTCTCTATCTCTATAAATTTCAAATCCGGCCTTGTATGGAATACTGTTGCCATATCTGGGGCAGATCTTCTAATGATGTCCTTTCTCTTTTAGACAAGGTGCAAAAACACATTGTAAACATAGTTGGACTTGCTCTTGCAGCCAACCTCCAAAACCTCTTATTCCTCTAGTTTTTTTCCTCAAACATCAGTTCTTTGGAGTTTGCTTCCTTCATCTTGTTTTCCTGATTCATACAATTTGCAATCTTTTAAGTTGTCTGTCAATCATTATCTTGCTCTACAATCTTCATCTTTTCTCTTCCAGTAATTTCCAACTCTAATTAGTGGTCGCTTGCAGCCTTGTTGGAAGCGAAGTTGTTAAAAAAAACTTACTGGAAAATAGCATTTGTTGTTCCAATTTTCAAAAACTCTGGAGAACATTCTAACCCCTCCAATTATTGTCCATTCCGTTTTCTTTCTGTTATTAGCAAGGTCTTAGTCTTTAATCAACAAATTTCTTCCATCCCATCTTGAGTCAAATAACTTACTGTCAGACTATCAATATGGACTTCAATCCTTTTTCTCTATGGCTGAGTTGCTAACTATTGCAATACTGTTGACATTTCTATATAGCAACACTCTAGGGCCGATGACTAGAGTCCATATGTTCATAAGGCCGGGGCACTGGGGGTCATGCCCCACTTTTCTCAAAAAAAAATTTTTTTGCTTTTTTATTAAAGTAAAGATAACTTTAAAAATATTGTCTTCAAAAATATTTTTTTTGCTTTATATTTGTTTTATTCGGTTTTTGATCATTTTGTATTCAATGATCTTTCTTTTAAATGTTTAAAAAAAGTATTTATGCTTATAAGATTTTTGGTTTGTGTATTTGGATTAAAAACAGTCATCAATCTAAAATAAGGATTTTAACAGAGTTTTACATTGAATAATTTAAAACTTTTTGAATTGAAAAGAAAACAGACAGAACAACATTGATCTGTCAGACAACAATTGAAGAATACAAATTGATGATATCAGAGGTAATAAACAAGTTAACAGCTCATTCCTACATTGCAAAATGTCAAGCAAGATTCAAAGGCAACAAAAGGAAAACTTGACAAAAGACCGTTGTATTGTCTTATTGTGATTTTGCAGAAAACTCCACGTTTGTGATTTAAGATAAAATTCAAAATTATTATTGTTGCCAAAGTCAATTCATGCTCTCTATTTAATAAACAAAAATGACTAGCTTAAAAAAAAATCATTTTGATTTATGTCAGAAGATAATGAGCATGACATTGGTTTTGTGCACGAAGTTCAAACACAAATAGTTATCTATTTAAAAGAATATCATCCTAATATTTCAAAGATTATTTTTCAGATAGTTCAGATAGCACAGAATAAAAAACCACAAAAGTCTTTACAATATCTGTCTCCATAAAGACATTGATGCAGAGTTGACATTTTTTGCTACAAGTCATGGTAAGTCACTGTGTGATGGTATTGTAAAACAATTAACTGCAAATACAAGTCTATAGAGCCCCACATATTGAATTGTTTAAATAATAAAATGTTTGACTGCTGTACAAAAAATCTTAAAGGAGTTATTTTTTTCAAGATTGAAAAAGAAAGACTAACAGAATAACACAACACTTTGAAAAAACGTTTTCAGTTAAGTAGTAGGATTCCTGAAACCAGAAACTATCATCAATTGAGCCCAGAATCTGTAGATACTATTAGCTTTAAATAAACAAGTGAACACTTTAATATAACAGGCAAAGTATTTAACCTAATCAGCAAATTAACATAGATACATTGAAATTTGGTGAATTTGTTCTGTGTAAATATGATATGTTTCATTGGTTTTGTATGATAAATGAAATTGATAATATTGAACAGGATGTTATGGTAACATTTATGCACCTGCACAATCCTTTTCTGGCCATCTAGAGCAGATGAGTGTTGGGTTTTAATTACCAATATAATTTGTATCATTGATACACCAGTAACAACAACTGGACCTATGTATACTTTGATCGTTGACACATCTAAGCAAATCTTTACACAATCTTTTTACTTTGTATTTTTGTATTTTATTTTGTAAATAATTAAATAAAATGGAACAAGTACAAACCAAAAAAATGTTTGAAGATATTTATATATTTTCAAAGTTATCTTTACTTTATTAAAAATGCAAAAAAAAATTTTTTTTTTTTTTTGAGAAAAGACGTAAGCCATGGGCACAGTGCATCAGGTCACGGACCCTTTGGTCATCTGCCCTACCCAGCAAACATTAGGTCCAATAAAGACGTTTTTAATACGTCTTTAAAACGTATTAGACGTTTTCTATACGCTAAAAAGACGTGTTTTTTTGACCAAATGTTTGCTGGGTAGAAACAATTTTAACATGCGTTCATCAGGACTACACAAATGCTGAAAGTTTTAAAGCTCTAGTTTGTCTGGAAGATAGTGAGAAATTGATCACAAAATTTCACTACAAAAAAATTGGGTGCTTGCCCCAGTTTCCCCCCTCTCTCCCTATCCCTTTCTAATGTCTTGGGACCCTGAAAACAATTTTACCATGCACAGAAATGCCAATTTTTAACATGCACAGAAATGCCAATTTATTCAGAGCTCTACCTAGTCTGAAAGGTAGTGAAAAATCAATCGCAATATTCTGTTACAACAAAGTAGGGACCATGCCCCATTATTCATATATGGAAATCCATAAACTTGCAGATCAAAATTTTTATATTTTTTGAAAGATCAAT